TTCCTGTGGGGGGGGATTGGGCTCCCCCCGGACAACCCGATCCCTGGAGAGGTGTTGTCACCGCGAAGCCTGGGGAGAAGTTGGCTCTCACCCCCGGGTCTCTGCGGCCCCGCTCTCTGCCCCCGGGCCAGACGCCGGGCAGATCAGTTCCAACTCGGTTCCGGTGCCCGAGCCCGACAGGCAGCGGAGAAGGGAAAACTCCGGCGAGAGCGAACAAGGGACCCGTGCCAGGCTGCCAGCGCCTGTCGGCCGGCCGTGGCTGCGCTTCCTGGATCCTGCACGCCCCTCCCTAGGACTCGGGGCGCCGGGGGGGCGCGCCGGGCCGGGCTGGGCCGGGCTCGCCCCGCGCAGGAAGTTTGCGCGGAGACGAAACCAGAAGCAGAAGCAGAGGAAAGGAGAAGCAGAGAAAGGCGCGAGTCCGCCCCCCCCAGCCAGGGGGCAGCGGTGGGGGCAGGGCAGCGGTAAATGGGGTCGTGCCTGGAGATGCCACCCACCAGGGTGGGCGCTTTAGCCCAGGCACGTCTGGGGTCCTGGGAGCGAGGGGGGCTATGCACTGGGGAGGGGGTCGATGGGGGAGGTGCTACATAAGTGGAAGTAGGGAGAGGGGGCTAAATGGAAGGGATAGAGAAAAAGTGGGGGTAGCTAGAGGAAATGGGGGTAGCGGGAGATTGATGGTGTGGGTTCTGGGGAGCTGTGGGGGGGGGAGCCTGGGAGATGGCCAGAGGGAGTCACAGTTGGAGAATACAGTTTTTGAGGGGGCAGGAGAAGGGGTAAACAGATCTGAGTTAAAAGCCTCCCACTGCACCCTCATACTCCCTTCTCTGGACACCCCCTATTTCCCTCCCTCCCATTTTTTCCCTGCAGCACTAGGTTATCTTAGTCCTGATTGGGGGAGGGGGACACAGCATGGGGGATGGGGAAAGGATCACAACTGTGGGGGTCATGACTAAGACCAGACTGGAGACACCCCCCTGCAACTTCCCCAGCCCCACCCTCCTACCCCACCCCCCCTGACACTTCCCACCCTCCACCCCCCTGCTCACATAGCTGCCTGTGGGCTCAGCGGGTATAAATACCCAGTAAGCTGAGCTGGGTCCTGGCATAGGAGCCACCACCCCAAATTTAGAAATGGCCTGCCAGGCCCAGAGAGCAGCTAACTCCCCCAGCTCCGGGCAGGGGCCTCCTGCTGCATGCAGCCTCCTGCAAAAGTGCACACGCCAGCACAGGCATTGGCACAAGGATCCCTGCCCTCCAGGGTCACAAATAAGCCATATGTACATATGCTGTGCCCATGGGTCCCTGTGTAGACACTCATGCATGGCTACAGGTGGGTGCACAAGCTCATGGCCACACATCTGCCTGGTACTTGTGTTCATGTCATGTGTGTCAGGGCCATTAGATGGCCACAGATGGATCATGTCCTGTGTGCAACCACACATGTCACATGTTGCTTGTCAGTGAATCACAGGCCTGGACTCCTGTTACACTCCAAACACAGTCTGCCATGAATCCTTTCCCCACTTCCTACCCACAGGGGTTGCAGTGACCATTCCAAAGTGTGTGTATGGGAGCAATGACCACAACACCCCGTGTCCCTATTGCCCTATAAAACACCCGCTGTCTCTGAGTCAGTGGCTGCATCATCAGCCCCCACCCCAATGTTAACACAACAGAATCTGCAACTGAATCAGGGTGTCATGTCTTGGTCCTCATTTCAGACCCACAGCCCCATGAGCCCTGTCCTAGGCTCTCCCCCACCAGTCCTACAGCACCTCTCAATGCCTCCCCTCAGCTCCCGGACACACCCAGCCCTATTGGTGCCCCTCAGTCCCTCTCCACAGCCCCCAGCTATACCAACATGAGCTCCCCCAGCTCTGCTAATGCCCCTCAGTTCCTCCACACAGCCCCGGTGGGAATGCACTCCCACACCCACCCAGGCCTTTTCCATTGTGATTCTCTTGTCAAACACTGAGTAATCCTGACTCAGGGCTGGGATCTTCTAGCCACACCTGCCCCAGCTGAGTAGGGTGAGAGGGGGTGGACTGTCAGCTTGGAAAGAACTTGCAGTCAGCCCTTCCCAGGCTGCCTCTACTCCTTCACCTTCGAGTAGGGACATGAACCTGGGAGCTGACAGCAGAGCAGGGATGGGCAGCTGCAGCACATTGTTAAACACTGCGGGAACAGGAGACAGGGCCAACAGTGCTATTTGAATGCACTATATTCCCCAAGGCCACTCGGCCATGGGAATCCTGGAACCAGTGGAGGCTGCTGAACTCACTTGGGGCAGAATGCACTATATTCCCCAAGGCCACTCGGCCATGGGAATCCTGGAACCAGTGGAGGCTACTGAACTCACTTGGGGCAAAAAATCAAGCAAATGAGACCTGGCCCCTGGCCCCAACCCCACTGTGTGCTCCCAGAGGCCAGGCCTAGAACCCAGGAATCCTAGCACCCAGACCACCCACTAGACCCAACCATGCTTCCAGATTTGGACAGCTGGTGTAAATTAGACAGGGCTGCACCCCCTCTCCCCAGGGAGAAGGGATGGGGTATATATTGTCCAGCCAGGCCCAGGCAATGCTGTGTGTCTCGAGGGGGCCCATAGTGGATGTTAGCCACACTCCCACCCCTGCCAGCAGGGGCCTTCCCACTAGAGCTGCTGGGTGAGAATAGGAGGAAGAGGGGCTGACAAGAACATTGTGTGTGGGGAGCCTCCTGAATGACACAGTGTGGGACTGAGGGTTCAGGGCCCCACTGTCCCCTCGATCAATCTGGCAGGGGGACACCAAGACTGGCTGGGCCTGGAGGGATGGGATGTCCCTGCCCCCACCATCCTGCTAAAGGAGCCATGAGCCCATCTCCCTGTGGACAGAAATTCAGACTCACTGCTCCCCCTGCTGGCCATGAGTAGTTCCTGCAGGAAATGTCAGCTACAGGGTAGGACAGGGCTACTCAACTTTGGAAGCCCAGGGGGCCACAATGATACTCACAACATGTGCGGGGGGCCACAACTTAAGTGTGGTTGCATATACATGGAAATGCTGCTAAAGGAGCCATGAGCCCATCTCCCTGTGGACAGAAATTCAGACTCACTGCTCCCCCTGCTGGCCATGAGTAGTTCCTGCAGGAAATGTCAGCTACAGGGTAGGACAGGGCTACTCAACTTTGGAAGCCCAGGGGGCCACAATGATACTCACAACATGTGCGGGGGGCCACAACTTAAGTGTGGTTGCATATACATGGAAATGCATATGCAAATATGTGCAAATAGCTTCTTTCACACAGTACCTCTCCCCCCACCCTGGGTGCTCCCAGCACCTCTTCCCTGGGGGCTAGAAACACCGATACCCTGTATCCATCTGTGCCAGGTAGCCCATCCACTTGCGTCTTCCAGTGTTCACCCTGCCTGGGAGAGGCCTTGCCGTTGTGGAGTGTGTTCCCAGAGGAGGCCATGTTCAAAGGATCCCACCCATGGGCCGCGGGTTGAGCCCCCATGTAAACCCAAAATGCACCGCGGGCCACATGTGGCCCACGGGCCATGTGTTGAGTAGCCCTGGGGTCAGGGATGCAAGAAAACTTTACACGGAATCAGCTATTGCTGGGGTTCAATCTCTAAGCCTGGCTGTTCCTAGCCTGGCATCTCTGGGCTTGCCATGTCAGTTATGAAAGTAAAAAGATTGCTTAAGCCCAAGCACTCTTTTAATTACTAATTAAGCAGTGCACAGAGCCCTCCAGGTTCAACATACCAGCCCTTTCTGTTCCCGGATAAGTGGGGCAGGAGCAGTTGCTGGGCTCTTCTCAGGGAATACAGTGTCACCAACCCCGACCAGTCAAATGTCATGAGATTAGCCCTCAGAATCACATTGGGGAGATGAAACCGTGGTTTGGGAGCTCTCTCTCCTCTTGTTCTCCTCATGCTGGGACATCCCCCCACTTTGGGCTGCTAACCCTATGCTGCTCTTCTCTACCACTACCAATACCCCTCCATGGCCCTTCTTGGCATGCACTCCCCACACCTGTCCTCCATCTTCATCCTGCCTGAAGGCTATTACAGGTCCAGCTGACAATTCGAATGGAGACAGGTAACTCTTGGCCTTCTCAGTTACCTTGTGGGGCAAGCGAGGGTGGGGGATGAAACTAGAATTCCAGTAGGTCCGACACAAATGCTGCAATTACTTTCCCAAGTTCTGACTCCCATCCCTATGTACTGGAATATTACAAGGCAAAGTCAATCTCTGAGGATTTATTCCACAACTCGGTTGGGGTTCAAGTCCCGACAGGCTGTATATATTACATTTCGCCTCTCCCCCTTCAGGAGGGGCCGGGTTTTTTTCCCGTATGTGTCAAATGTTTTTAAATTTTATTTTTAAATATCTTAAAAGTGGCCATTTTTGGCTCCTTGCTGAGGCACTAAAACCTGCTAACAGGATCCTAACTGCCCACCCACAACAATGCAGCAAAATGCACTGCTCTAGCCTCTCCTTATAGGGGGCACTGCAAGGAGAAGGACAGGAGCTGGCTGCAGAGAGAGCTCCCAGATACTCTAGCCTTGGCCTCTCCCAGCAGGCGGCACTGTAGGGAGTGGGACAGGATCGCTGGCTGCAGGGGGAATGCCTGGCTTCTCCAGCCCTGGCCTCTCCCAGCATAGGGAGCTCCCAGCTACACATGCTACTATGTCCAAAGGGGGTGAGGCTGCAGTGACCACAGGCTCAGATAGTGATGTGGAAGGAGTCCTGCAGCCATTGGTCACGGGAGTTCTGGGGCTGAGGCAGGCTGAGCCGGCCCAGCAGTGGTGTCTCCTTGTGCACATCAGGTCCTGGTGGCTCCACCTCAAATTCATCATCCTCATCAGAGAAGCCGTTCTCAGCAGCGTAGGAGCCCTCAGAGTGAAGGGACGACGACATGTCCTGGAACAGCCCTTTGTACTCCTGGATTGACTCGTACAGCGACCACAGCTGGCACAGCAGTGACATGTCCAGTTGGCGCAGGCCCACCTGTGAGGACAGGGACCAGGAGGGTCTGTCACAGTTGGGTCCGTTCCTCCTCATGGCTCCCTGATGCCCTTCAATTCCCAACCCACAGCCCCACTGCTCAGCCAGTGACTCTGCCGCCTGCTATTCCATCCTACCTTTGCTGCCTCCTGTTGGGGGGAACAAGACCTGCTTTATGTGTGTATTTGCATATATGGATATCCATACTTGGGTGCATGTATTTCAGGTGTAGCAGTGTGTGCACACCGTTATCACCACACTACATGCCTATTCTATAAATACAGTGCACATTCACACTAGCCTGGCTGTGTGAGTTGTATCCATACAATGCCCAGTGCAATGGAGCCCCGTTCCATGACAAGAGCTCCTAGATGCTAATACTCTTCTTCCTTCTTTCCACTTCCCTGTTCAGGGTTGGCAACCTTTATAGACTTCTTCCAAACCCATGACCATGTGTCTGCCTTTGGTGCAAACTGATCTTACTAAGTTCTGCTTATATCTGGCCCATATCAACAGAAGGGCCATAATGGGTCAGACCAAAGGTCCCTCTAGCCCAGTGTCCTATCTGCTGATAGTGGCCAATTCCAGGTGCTCCTGAGGAAATGAACAGGACAGAATAATCATTGAGTGGTCCACCCCTTGTTGTCCAGTCCCAGCTTTTGGCTGTCAGGGATTTAATGACACCCCGAGTGTGTGGTTGCATCCCTGACCATCTTGCCTCATAGACATTTTGATCAACCTACCCTTCTTAATGTATCTGATGTTCCGAGTCTTTGGCTTCTCCTTGGGTCATCTTCTATTCACAGTCATTGTAAGGGCCATCCTATGAATATACCTCTGGGATCCCTACTGGTAAGGTCCATGTCAACACAGCTTGACCTCTCTCAACTTGTGTTCAATGGGGCAACCCCCATGAGGTCCTTCACAACCTCATTTCTAATTCACTACTGCTACTAATGACACTGAAATGTATAGATTTCAAGGCCAGACGGGACCATTAGATCATCTAGATTAACTTCCTGTATTGCACAGGCCAGCTAATGCCACCTGTATGTATGCAACATGCTTTATGCACAGCCTGGACATTCACATGCATTTTTACCCAAACCCAACATAATGCTACACACACATGTACACAAACATGCCCATATATGTCCTCCCCACATGCTAGGTATTTACAATACACACATGCAGCACAATACCCACACACGTGTGATGCATATGCTGTTGTATACACTCCCTCCACCTACACGCACAGACACCAACATAAAGTTACACATGTACATGGACACAAACACAACCAAAGACATTTTGATCCAAATGCCAGTCACATTCAGTCATGCCAAGCCTAAGGAGTTGAAAAATTGTAAGCCAGATCCCCGCCTCACTGCACATGGGCATACATAATGGTGGGTCCCATTTCTTTGCCTGCTGCCTTGGAGCCTGGAAAGTGGGAGTAAGGGGAGGACCATAGCATAGGCACATCCTCCAGCTAGTTAGTTCCCTTCTCAATCAGGAATAGCTGCCCTGGGATAAGCACCTCTATCCCACTAGAACTGTGTCCACACAAGCAGGCACTGTGGTACTTTAAGGAGCCTGGAGCTCTTAGAGCAGGGCAGCTTTGGAATGTGGGCAGGCACTAGTCAAGGAAAGCTGCCCCAAATACGATGAGACTCTCAGTGAAACCTTGGGAGCTTGTGACTCCGGGAAATTCCCCAGCCCACAAGTGTCCCAAGTTCTGAGGCAAGTCTCCACCCCCCCCCCCAACTTGTGTCCACAGTGCCGGCTGCCCGGGGAGCTTAGCAGTCTACCCCAGCTAAGTGGTGCATGGGAGGCAGGGGGCACGTCATGGGAGGGCAGAGAGGCTGTGCCATGTAGAGGACGGCCATGCCACGTGGGGGAGGCTGTGCTATGGGGGCAGGGATGCGGTTACCATCTCCTTGCGCAGCATGGCCAGCGCTGAGTCCAGGTTGGCTGGTTTGCTCCGCAGCAGCTTCTCGGAGGCAGCTCGTGATTTGCTCAGGTCGTCCTGGATCCGTGTCTTCTTGCTGTACACTTTCTCAATCTCACGCCATGAGCCGCCACTGGAGTTGAGGATCCCGCTGAGGCCCTTGGGCAGCGGGGGGAGCCCTTCAATGGAGCAGACGTTACCCCCCAGGCAGCCCTGGGGGGGCTGGAGGCCATTCATCGTGGACAGGAGATGGGGAGGGAAAGAAAGAAAAAGAGAGAGCCCCCCAGGCAGATAAGCTCAGCCTGTGGCAGAGAGGTGCGTCCGGGCTATACAGGTGTCCAGTTCTCTCTGTCCCTGTCCAAAGCCTAATTCTCAGCGGGGAGGGTCCTTCTACTAGGTCCCCACACACTGTCTTTAGGGGGCATCCACGATCGAGCTAACTATGCCCCAATTCGACCGTCCTAGCTGGTAGCTGCTCCCCCAGCTTTCTAACAGGCCGATCCCCCCGTCAGCCAGCCCCTGCAGCGCCCAGTCCGGTGCTGATCTAGCTCAGGGCGGGGGGGGTGGGTCACGCTAGCTTCACTCCCTCACCCCTGGGGGGCTAGGAAAGGGCCGGCCGGATCATTCTGTGCTCCCGCCCAACGCTTTCGGCTAACCCAGGATCTCAGGACAGCTCATCTCGAAGCCTCCTTCCCCTTCCACCCGCTGCCATCCGCGCTGCTCCGCTTCCCGGCTCGCTATTTTCCGGTCTATTTTTCCATCTGGTGCCTTTTTCCTGCTTCTTTGTTCCGCGGGCTTCTGGCCGCGAACCGCCCTCTGCGGAGCTCGAGGGGTGGGGGCGGCTGGAGCGATGGAGAAACCCTTCGCAGGCGGACGAGCGCGGGGCTGGCAAGCCACGCTCCCAGCGGCTCGGGGAGCTCGGATGTCCGCTCCGGCCCTGCAGCCCTTGGAACAGAGACAGACAGACGGACAGAGGGGGCGTGGCAGCCTGACAACAGCTGATGGGTTCCCTAATCCGTCCCCCGAGCCGGCTCGCCCTTTGTTTGCTCTGCCTGCTGCTACCACACCCCACCTGGTCCCTTTCAGATCCCCCTCCCCGAAAGGGGCAGGCCGCCTCGGGCTTAAAGGGGCAACAGCGGCTGGGACACAAGGAGACCCCCTCCCGAGGGCAAACAGGGCTCTGGCTCCTCAGCGAGTGGCCTAGCAAACAGATCCTCCCCGTCTCCACCAATAGGCTCTTTCCAGGTCTGCGGTGGGGCCCACTGGCAGGGAAGGCCAACCCTGGGATGCTAATCCTCTGGCCAGACGCCTGGAGGGTGCGGAAAGCCGCTTAGCTGGAGAAAAACAGTGGCCTCAGCTAGCAGCAGGGCTGGGGGGAAGGGGCAGATCAGACATGTCCCCAGGGGCCCGTCTAGAGTGCTGGGTTTGTGCAGCCTGCTACCCTGGCATCTATGCTCTACCTCTCTCCTCCTCCATCAGGTAAAAAAATATACCGGACAGCTAGGGATGATGGGCTCTATTGCTACCTCTGGAAGGGAAACTAGGGGGTGAGAGCAGGGGCAGGGACGAGGGTCAGGACTCTATCCTTGGCTCTGGCACTGACTTGCAGTGTGGCCTTTGGCCCCTGTTTCCCAGCAAAGGAAAACTTCTGTTGGCTGTTTCCACTGCAACATTCTGAAGAGTGGGGCTCTCTCTCTCTCTCTCTCTCTTGGTAGGGCGCCCCACCCAAAAGGGTGCAGTCTCAGCCCGGGCAGCACCCAGCATGGCAGGGGCCCTCTCCTCTCAACAGCAGTTTGGGAAGCTGAGAGGCACTGCTTTCCAGTGTACCAGGTGGCAACTGCTAAGGCAGAGCAGGGAGCTGAGTCCAGCCTTATGGAAGGGGAACCAGCTCCGTAGTCCAGGGAGGTAATTAATCTGGCTTTGGACTGGGCAGCCCTCTTTTTTGGGGGGGACTGTCCCCCATCACTACTGAAGCAAAACTGGACAATGTTTTATTGGGTGCTGGACAGTGAATGCCCTTCTGAAGAGCCACTCAATCTCAACCTTGCACACGCAATGTGTGAGGTCTGGCCAACATGTGTGGGGGGCAGTGTTCTTTGTAAGATGTGCTCTTGTGCGCCCGCTCAGGAAAGATTCAAAGGCTGCCCAGCTGATTAGCAGAGTGCCCACATCTAGGTTTTGTTTCTATTGATGAAGCACATGCCTCCGTTCACATAAAATTTTTTTCCTGCACATGGATGGAAAAGATTAGAAGGAACATTGGTGGGGGCACATTCCATTCTGCAGGGCAGGTGTACTCTCCATCCCACCCTTCACCTCTTCCAGATGGGGCT